GAACTTTTTTTATTTTAAAAAGTGAAAAGGCGTCGGCCAATACTTTGGATATTCGAACAAGCTAAAAGGAGCATCTAGACGTTGATTAAAAGGTCTTTTGTGACGGGTCTTTAATCATCAGAGTCCAAAATCTTGAAAATGTGTCGTTCGAATTTTGATGCAAATTTCACAAATACCACAACTACAAACCAATAATGATTTATGGTATGGATATTGTGACTTGAGCCTACCCTGCCCGAATGATTTGTCGAATTCTTATCCGACTATCTGTGGATGAGGATTAGGTTTTGCGCTTGCTGTTATGTATGTGGACAAATTATTCTAATTCACGGGCCACGATCTACACGGCTTGATGGATTTTGACATATGTAGTTGTTGCTGGATTCATCTTAGCAGTGCTAGTGACACTGGCTATACTGAAATTTCATAAAATCAATAGGGCAGAATTTGTTAAAAAATTTCTACTGTGAAACTTCTACATATACTTTACAGGCTAAAGTTGAAGGGACTTGATATATTTTGACATATGAGATACCTTTAGGATTGTCTTGACAATGCGAGTGATACTGGATATACCAAGATTTTATAAAATCAAAATGGCGGACTCTAATGAAAAACTTCACTTTGAAATTTCTTTTTCACAACTCAAACGGCTTGATCGATTTTAACATGTGAAGTGTCTTTATATGTACCACCAATAGTATACTTAATAGAACTAGATTTTTTTCAGGCCATTTCGTAGAATTGACCATTGCATAAAATGATCGAGCATTGCATGAAATGACTAACTAAATTTGACTATATCGTTAAATCGTCAACGTTGTGCCAACGATCAAATCGTAGAATCCATCTAATCGTAAAATCCAAGAAATATTTAATAAAAATTCAGAATATGTTACAAACCCTTTTATTGTTCTTTAGATACGAAAACTACTATCACAAATAAAATTTTGGAACATATCAGATATCACAAATTAAGTTATTACCTCGCATTGTCACCCTGATCTCCTTTATTTGACGTGTAACCTAAAAATAAAGTGAAAATTAAGATGAGTTTTACATTCGTAGAATAATATGGTAGCTCAACATTCAAACATAATATTTTAGCTGGCCCTTGATTTTGACGTAAAGTAAATGAATGATAATGTAATTTAAGCGTGGGCACTAACCTGTGAAACGCGTTCCGAACTCCATGGATTGTTGACTCTTTGAGCAGTATTTGCGTCGAATCTTTTAACCTCGCTTTCTTCCTCATTTGGTAACGAAGTAGACTTTCAATTCGATAAACAACTTTATTAACGACCGCAGTGTACAAAATATGTGTATAAAAATAAAAAAAAAATAAAAAAAAATGTTACCTTGTTTTATAAAGTATCCTCCAGACAAGTATTTCAGTGCGGACCTGTATTTGATCGTGCGGTCTTGGAGCACCGGCATGCCCTCCCCTGTGAGGTCTTAAGTCACCTGATTCACGAGCCCTTTGTATTACATTAACGAAGGCACGAGGGGTTGATTGCACTCGATTGGGAAACCGATCCGCATAAATCCGTGATGCCGCGGCAGCATTTTGTAAAGACTCCCCCCCCGTAAATAATAATCATGTCCATAAGTTCAGCATTTTCGTAAACGTTTGCCATTTTTTATTTCGTTTGAGCCACGCAACAAACACCACTATTCACTGACGCGTTACCGACTGACACAATGACTGAATACAACTGAATAAAATTGTAGTAAAAACATCGTGATAAGCGTTTCAAATTATTTCGCTTTTTTGTTTCCGATGCGATGAACCGATAAGGCGGATTATATCCGTTGTTGCCAAACACAAGCACATAATATTATTATTGAGACAGGGCGGTACTCAAACTTCTAAAGGGCTATAAGTTTGTTACTTTAATTTTACCACAAAAATGTTAAAGGAAAAAAATATTTCTTTTGATCAGATCTACTCACGGTTAAAATAAATGACTCAACTCCGAAGTCACCCTGTATAGACAGAACGCTCCTAGAGCCTCTATCTGGTAGTTAATGTAATTATTTTACGATCGGATCAAACATGCTTGACTATTTCATGAAGTAGCCGCGCGTTCAGTTGATCATATCGTTAGACAATTTCTGATCATTGATCTGACCAGTAGAAAATGATACATTTTATGAAATGCGGGATCATTTCATCAATTTTGCGATATGGCATATACATTTTGATTTTATAAAAGATAAATATGTTGTGAATTCGGACTTCACGGCAAGCAAACTGTAAGCAAACCTTCACTAGCTAAAACAATTGGTGACTGCCAAACAAATGAAGAACTTCTCACGTTGCTTTTCATGACAGCTGGAAATGCTCTATTTACACGTCGATTTTGCGAAGATCCTCAGAACAAGAGCAAAAGTGAACCTGGTAATAGGCCTGTTAATCAACTTATCTCATGCAGCAATTGCATCCCCGTTTTTACGATCAGCTAAATATAGAGCTTTCCAGGTCGGGATTTTATGAGTTATACAATTACGTTGTTATACCGTTTGCGTTTTCCCTATGATTATCGTTAGTGGAAGGACTGGAGAAATGAAATCGTGCCGGTAGAGACCGTTCATAAAGATGAACTTGCAGCATGCACCTCAAATTGTAAACGTTACAGGTACACATGTGGATGCTAAACATTATATAAACCTCCATTCAACGATAGGCATCAATATTATTCTGGCCAAATGAATCCACATATTAAATAGTATATATATACGTATATATAGTAATTGATGAGCTCTCCTCTTCATCCCATAACGTCAACGCGGGTGTCCCGCAGAGATCGGTCTTGACTCCGACATTGTTCCTCTTACATTTCAACTACGTTCTTTCCTGTACGATCAATCCGATCCACAGATTTGCTGATGACACAAGCCTATCTCTGCTTGTGAGCTGGAAAAAAGAAAACTAGCAGCGCCCCCTCTCTGATGAGAGACCTGGAGGTTATCACTGCTTGGGGACGTAACAATCTTCCAAAATACAGCTTGATTAGCAAGAAGTGTCCTAGTACTCATCCGGTTTCGATGGATGGCCGAGTTTTACTAAACAGCGGTTCATTTTAGCTGATCGGAGTGCAGAACACCGAGGACTTGATCTGGCACGAACACATCTCGTCAATAGCGGCTGCTGCTGGGAAAAAGATAGACTATTTGCTTAAGGCTAAAAAACACTTTTCTCTATATGATCTTCGCACTCTCTACAAGGCACAGATAAGACCTAGCCTCGAGCACTGCTCACATGTTTCGCCCGGATCACATTATCCATGCTCGATGCTGATCAGACTACTCTTCTCTTCATCGGCGCGGCTGGACGTTGGTGATCTAGCTCTCTTCTCTTTGCTCCTTAGGGCTCGCCTTCATTATGCCGCCACGCGGCGTGCCTACCAGACAGAGCCGCCTGATTTCAGCCTCCCATCCTCTCCGTGTTGAACTTCGTACATCCTTTGTCCCTAGGGTATCAAGATTGTAGGACAATATACGTCAGAAGGCTTTTCTCAGCTATACTAACCTTAGGAAGCTCAAAAATCGGTTCAACAAAGTTTCTTGAAGCTCCTCATGGCTTCCGCCGAGCCCTGGCTTTGAGCTTCTGCCTTCGCGGCTGTTTCCCTGAATCAATCGGTAGATGAATTTTTCCGAAAAATCATCGATGCATAAAAATATCGTCTAGAAAATATCGATGTATTGAACCATTTAAGCTATTTGATTTTTTGGCAGTGGAATAAGCTAAATATTGAAGATAACGTTGGTTTCAACAATAACTAAGAAGTGAATTTTTGACGAAAACTAATAAAGTAGTAGGTTTTCAATCCCAAAAAATACTGCTGTACCAGCACCACATATAATATATAATTGGTTCTTTTATCGTTGTATGTTTGTCCTGTAAGATTAAACATCCGACAAAATAACACTGGTACCAACATAGCTGGAAGGTATTTGAGAGTACTTAAGTGGTTTGATCAGAGAAGAATGGACGAAGTCCAGTAAAAGTATTTAAGTTGTTCTTAAAGTCTCTGACCAAGATTGTGTGGATAATTTACTTCGGCCTGTTTTGGTCAACGGTACATTTTTTGAGCGAATTTGGCCGAATCTGATGCTTCAGTCGGACCATCGAGTATAAGTTCTATATCAATACAGAGTGGGTAGTATGGACCTGGTCCGTTTAATATCTGAAAATAAAAAAGTTCAAAATTCAGTGTTTATGTATATTTATTTAAAAACGCCAAATACCACATATCTCACGCACTAATGAACTGATCTTGTTGAAATTCTGCACACACCTTTTAGGCTGAGTATTGAAATGTTTGGCTATATACCAAAAAGACAAATAATGGTATTTCTTATGTATTAAAATAGATTTATTGCGCCTCTTTTGATTCTTTAATAGGAACATTTTATTTATTCATCTATATCAGAGTTCCCCAAACTTTTTTGTGTCGTAGACCCCTTGCCATGTTTTTTCGTGTTGGGTAGACCCCCTACTTACCTGATATTGATTTCCTGTAAATTTCTAACTGTAGTGAAGTTTAGTGTTAAAAACTTAAAGTAAAAACAGATGTTAATTTATACATTTATTAATTGAATTTAAATTAAAACTACTCAAAATAAAATTTTGTACCTGTTATGTAAAATATACGTAACATTAAATAAACAGGGGTCTGACCAATAAGTGCCCGCATTGGGAATAAGTGCCCGCATTGAAAAAAAAATAAGAGGGATAAAATAAAAAAAAAGTGAAAAATAATAAAAAAAAAGTTTTTTACTTAAAATAGTACAATAAGCGAGTTCGTTTATTAATTATAACATAAACGTATGTTCTACAATAATTTCACTGTTAGTTTGATTAAATTCCGCTTCTTATACGTTTAAGTTATCTAAAAATAGGCAAAAAATTAACGAATTTTAGTGTGTACCTATCCTTGAATTTTCAGAATAATTAAAAAAAAATCTTTTCTACAAAGGGGGTTAAAAAACTCAACGCAGGCACTTATTCCCAATGCGGGCATTTATTGGTCAGACACCAATAAACATAAAATAAACTATAAAAAAAATAACATAAGCAATAAGTCAATATTTTTAGTGAGAAGGATGAACCTGATGCTTTAATAATAAATTATCAACATTTGGCGTCAATTTTGTAAGGGTTAATCTTAAGTCTCCTCGGCTAATGATGTCCAGTCTGTTTATTTTTTTCGTTAGGAGATTGGTAACAGCGCTGAACCCTCTTTCCACTAGGTATGACGATGGAAAGGAAATTAAAAATTTCCTCGCTATATTCCATAATACGGGATAAGTAACGCGTATGTTGTTTTGCAGCCAGAATTGCTGATATCCGTTTTTAAACTGAACCTTAAATTCTTCGTTTGTACTTAGTTCAGTCAGTTCCTCTTGTATTATGACATTCGTTTCTTCTATGTCACCATATGGATTAATTATCCACGGTGGTATGACCATAGTCAAAATATCCTCAAACCTAGATTCAAAATCTGAATAGAGGGCATTTAAATGTTGAAGTTGAAACGTCGTCTTCCTGGCAGCTTGTCTGTGACAAATTGGGGAACTGAGAAAATTCGCCCCGTCCAATATTTTGCTTCATTAGTTTAACTCTGGCAAGAAACGCTGATAAGATGGACTTTGTTTTAATCAAATTTAAACTGTCGCCTTGTAATTGCAAATTAACCATATTAAATTTTGTAAACAAATCTGTTAAATAGGCGATGTCTGTTTTCCTCTTCATTAAATTCATTAAATTCATAAATTCATTAAATTTTCTTTTAAAATTTTATCTTTAGTATCCAGAAATTGACACATTTGTTTTGAATAGCTTATAAATCCACGATAACGTCCAACCATGGCAGGTGCTCCATCTGTAGCTACTGATATTATATTTGATAAAGGAATTGCTTTTTCAATGAAGTAATCCTTCAAAACATGAAATTTTGATTTACCTTTAGTGTCGGTTATCAAAGTTCTTGCGAAGAGCTGTTTTTCGTAGATTTCTTGATTCATAATAAAACGAACATATGCCAATAATAATGCTGCATTATCAGGTAAAGTTGACTCGTCCAGTTGTATAGAGAAATGGGTCGTTTGCAAATAATTACATAAGAAGCTTTCAATATCAGAACTCATTTCATCAATACGTCTTTCAACAGTATTGTTGCTTAAGGGAATTCTTTTAATGATATAAGATGCAGGTTTGAGTGAATCAGTTTTTAAAACCTCTTCAACGGCTGGCAAAATTAACTTCTCTCCGATAGTATGCGGTTTTCCGCCCGCAAACCATCATCATTTATTTGTGACGTCGAAGCGAACATTCTGTCCAGTGTAGGTCTCTTCTGAAATTTATCTTTGAGTGTTTGAAAGTATTTCAAATATTTCTCTGTTTTATCAGGGTGGCATCTTCTCAGATGATCTTGCAGTTTCGATGGTTTCATAGCGTCATTGTCCAAAGCTTTGTTGCATAAAAGGCACATAGGCGATTGTTTGTCCGGCAATGATGGAATGAAGCCAAATTTCAAATAATCAACACTGTACTGTCTACATTTCTTTTTAGATTCGGACATGGCATCAGTCATCTGTGGGCAAGCTTAAATTATTTAAATAATACAGAAAATCCAGCAGCTGTATATTAAAAATATTTTTTGATTTTTCTGAAAACATTCCATAATTCGAACATCTTCTTGCAACAATTAGCTCGCATTACGGAGATTGCACTGTAATTATATTACCGATTGCTAAAACTTTCAAAAAGAAACTATTGAGGAGCACTCGTGTAATTTTGCATGATTGAATATTTAACTACTAATAACTAAAGTCATGATTGGCGTAATTTATCTATCTTTGCTAACTACGAGTACAAAACTAAAATTTAATAAAAAATAATGTACTTACTTTTCTCCAGCACCCTCAAACAAAATAACACTGACTCACTATAATTTGTGTGATATACTATCTGATTATATTTTTTTAAATATTTTCTTAGCACTTTCCTTTTCAAGATTCAGGAAACGAATAAACGTATTTGTCCCACATTCGTATTTATAGAGTGACGAATTGAACAAGTCAGTACAAGGTAGCGAAGCTCTGAGACTGCGACTCAGGTTTTTACAAGTTCAAAATGTATTGCGACCACAAAGCGAATACCAACATCCTATAACATACACAATTTTATAGACATATATAATACATTTTTTACTTCATAGGTACTTTTATAAATAATGTATATGTTTTGATATTATAAGATAGTATGATGTAAGTAAATAGGTACTATCAGTGTATGTGTTGAGATCCACTATCGTGGACCCCCATATTCACTTCATGGACCCCCAAATTTTTTTTCGCTGACGTAGACCCCTTGCAGGTTGTCATAGACCCCTAGGGGCCGATATAGACCACTTTGGGAATCAATGATCTATATCTATATTTTGGACTATCTGATATTCCACTAAGATTTTTCCAAAGCTACTTGGCTGAAAGAAACCAGGTAGTTAAGACGGTTAGGGGCGTCTCTTCTAATACTGTGGTTTCGTCTGGCATTCCGCAGGGGTCAGTTCTGGGACCTCTGCTATATTTAATTTACACTATAGACTTAGACTCATGTGTGGAATTTTGTTCTATACAAACGTATGCTGATGACACACAATTGTCATTTCACTTCAAATATGCTCAGTTAAATGAAGTGTCGTTTAAAATTAATACTGACCTAATCAATATTACGGAGTTTTGTAAAAAGCACTGTCTCAGGATCAATCCTGAAAAGAGTTCAAGTATGCTTTTTTCTCCGAAACACATGTATAATAACATAAAGGACGCAGTTGTACTCATTATAAATAACGAGCGCATCCCCATGGTAGAACATTCTAAAAACCTGGGTGTTATCTTAGACTCTAACTTGAAGTTTGATAGACACATCGGTTACCTGTCTCAAAAAATGTATGCCAAATTAAAACTTTTGGACTCCAACCGGTTCATTTTAAACTTTAAGACTAGGAAAAAATTAGTTGAAAGCTTGATCCTGTCATCTTTGCAAGATTCTCTGATTTTATTCTATTCTTATTTGGATTCGTCGGATCGGTATGGGTTACAAAATATTCAAAACAGCTGCTGCAGGTTTGTGTTTGGACTTCGTAAGTATAGTCATGTCTCTTCGAAGATTAAAGATTTAAATTGGTTAAAGATGGAATCACAGTTTGTTTATGACATGAAGGTGTTGGTCCATAAAGTAGCTCGCACAAAAAAGCCACCGTAGATTTTAGAAAAGCTAGTACCAAGAGGTAACATTAATCAGAGAAATCTCAGACACAACCAGTGCCAGTCCACTACACAGCCCTTTTCCAGAAAAGTTTCATATTTCATGCTGTCAAGTTATACAACTCTACAGATAAAATGTGTCGCAGTAAAACAATAGTACCTTTTAGGAGACTCGTTAAGAAACAGCTGATGGGATATTGATAGTTCAAGTGTGCATTTGTTAAAAATCTTTTTTTTTCTTTTCTTTTTCTCTTACATATTACTCTGTTGGCTCATGTGTGCGTGTTGTCAACACGTTATCTACTCAATTCATCTACTTACATTTCTTTTTCTTCTTATTGTTACTATTGTTTGTTTGTGTATCGAGTTTAACTATATTACTCTTTCGCACACAGTGAGGTTAAGTGTAAGAGTAGCCATTTGGCTAAACTTCGTCACACTGATGTATGTGTATTAATAAAGACATTTATTATTATTATCTTATTTCTCAGTTCATGTGACACAAAACTCAAATTTCAATAGTTAACAACTTGGTTTTATCAAAGTTGCAGAAAATAATGCTTAAAATTGAAATAAAGATGTTTTGGGAGCTGAAAATTCCTTGGTCGGATTCAGTTTTCTTATTTCCTTGTATTTCATAAAGTGGACGCTCTGTAGTTTATAGTCTGAATTTATTATTATTTCGCAAAACAAAGACCAACACATAATATAAATAAAATGGAAAATTAATGTTATGCATCCCATTTAGTTTTTTCAGTTATCTTTCAGTGATTTAATTCTATCAACTATACAACATGAGCCCTGCTTTAAAGTGGCACAGCTTTTAGTATGCAAATGCACTGAACTTGACGCTCCAGACCATATCAAGATTACGCCGAAAATGTAGAAAAACCTGATATGGAGGTCCGGACTCAGTATTTTCAGCATAGTTATGTTTGCGTACACAATTCGGATCTGCATAAGTTTTTTATAGTTTACTAATTCAATTTCAGTTAAGTCTGGGAGGACAAATTTAGCGGAACTGCACATTAAATGCCATTTCCTTTTTCAACAAGAACTCGTGATGTACAGAATCAGTTGGTAGAATCAAATCATCAAAAAAATTATCGAAAGAAGTAAACAAGGTGCATAGCATGTTTTACTTATATCACCTGTTGCTCTTTTTCCTGTGAAACAATTATAAATTTAGACTATAAGTGCACTTAATAAAATACAAGGATATAAAAAACTGAATCCGGCACTGGAATGTTTAGGCCCTAGAGCATCTTTAGGTCAATTTTAAACAGGTTGATAACCCTTGAAATTTTGAGCTTTATGTCACATGAAAATTGGGATACTTTAATAAATAGAAAAAAATTAAATGAGAAACTAAAGTACAATTAATGTATACTAAGTGACATATAAATCCGAACACCCAGTTTAAATGGTTTTATTTTAATAAAATTTTGTATAAGTACTTAATGAAGCATAATAAGTAAATGATAAAAATTTCAAAATGATTGCACTGCTTTAAAGCCCTTTGACCTTTAATAATGTGTGGATGCACCCTGATGTGCTACGCATTCTCCAACGCGCCTAGGCATGCTTCTGATCAGGTGGTCAATATCCTCCTGTGGTATCTCATTCCAGGCAACCACCAACTCCTCTCGAAGTGCTTTTAGAGTCTGAGGAGGACGTTGCAAATTGAGCAATCTCCTACCCATCATATCCCACACGTGCTCAATTTTGGATAAGTCGGGAGATCTTGGTGGCCATGGTAACAATGTGACATCATTATGTTGAAAGAAGTCTATTGTGACTCTTGCAACATGTGGTCGGGCATTATCTTGTTGGAAAGTTGGATCTGCCAGGGTGTCAAGATGGGGTAAAAGATGGGATTCTAGAACTTCGTGGATATAACGCTGCGCGTTCATGTTACCTCTGATGAAGATTAAAGGTGACCTGGAACCATAAGCTATAGCACCCCAAACCATAACTCCAACAGTGTAATGAACATGTCTTTGAACAAAAAACTGTGGATTCCTCCTTTCACCACGTCGCCTTCTAACCCTGGCACGACCATCGTGCATGCCTAAACAACAAATTCCTGATCCCAGAGTGACCGTTGTCTGCACCACTCAAGGCGATTACGACGGTGTTCTCGAGTTAAAGGGAGGACCCAGTGTGGCCGGTATGAAAACAAGCCAAAACTTCTCATTCGTCGGTAAACACTTCGCATGCCAATAGGTCATCCGTTCTGCAAACCATTCATTAGCAATGGACCTGGTAGTAGAGAAGCGGTCCCTTAAGGCCAATAACCTTAGGCGGCGATCTTCACGGTCTGTTGTTCTACGGCGGCGTCGAGTGCCCCTTGCTCTTTGCGTACGGCCTTCTCGAAGCCATGCCTGACAACACCTAACCACAGTGTCTACACTTCTTTGCACTCTAACTGCAATTGCCCGAAAAGAAAGTCCAGCTTCCCGAAGTCCCACTATACGACCCCTATCAAACTCACCAAGTTGACAAAATCGTACAAATCTCCGTACTCTAGGCATCGTAACCGATCGTAAAGGATGTCAAGAACCAAAATCCGCCAACGTTGATTCGTTACTGCGGCTGAAATATTCATTTTTAGAGCGTTAGTGAATTAAAAAAAAGCAGTATAAAAACCGGAATGTCCAACTGATAAGGCTGAAAATTTTTTCACTTGTTATTTACAGTAAGATAAATACATTCACCAACTTTTATTAAAATAAAACCATTTAAACTGAGTGTTCGGATTTATATGTCACTTAGTATATTTGGCTAGATAATTCCCGTTTTGGATTTTTTTGTTGATAGACTTTTCAATATACAGCTCCAGATTAACAATTTCCAATATATTTAATTATCCTATAATTATAGTTTTTTATAGTTATTTTATCATTAGGACTTTATCATGAATGAAAACAAGGAGCATTAGAATGAATTCTTTAGAATAACAGTTGTATATAATATTTAAGTTAGATTTAAAAAGTATTGAATTTTCAATTTATCTTAATAAATAAGAAGAAAAAGATTGCATTTAGTTTCGACCTAAACATTTTGTATTTATATGTCTTTATTTTGAATTAAAAGCTATTTAGTTTTAACCAAAGGTATATATCACTGTTAATAATATTATGCGATATTAATTTTGATAAAAAGCAAAAAGTGAAAAAAATCGCATCCGGCCGTGGATATTTTAATTATCCGTCTAGTTTTA